GGTGAGCTTTAAGGTTYTTTCCAACCCAAACTATTCAGAGGTTCTATGAAATTTGAATTCTGAARGAGCCTTGAGTCTCCTAAACTTTTGTAGGAGAGAGAGARGATTAAGAYCATCTTCATTAATTATTTTGGTTTTTTATGAAACATTTTTCTGCTAATCTAAATATTTTAACAGATGTGTTGATGTTGTGGAGCAACTAAACCCACCTCAGCTTAGCTCTGAGGGTAGCAGAGGATGTTGTACCAGGAGGAAGAACCATTCAGCACAGCCTCTCAGAATAGCTGGATTAATAATAGTTAAATTAGGAATAATCAAAATTTGTGGGAAGTGCTTCCTGTCCTCTATTCCTTCAGGACACCRGTCCCTGTGGCCTGCCCAGGTGCACTGAGCTGATAAAGGTGGTCTGCAGGGGCCCCCCATTGTGTATCTGTGATCAGATCCCACATCAGGGCTGGCTGGCAGCCACCAGCCACCTCTGCGTGTTGCTCAGTGTCTTAATTAAAACATTTATAACTGAAATTAGTGCCCTGAGGCAGGGAAATTGTTCTTCTGGGTGCCAAATACTTCATTACTTATTTTTCTTTAATTTTTGGGTAATGGTGGAATATAAAATGGGACGCAGCTGCTTGTCTTCAAACAGAAAATGAGTTTTTTGTTTAAAGTAATTTAAAAGGTAGTCACTTAATGGTTGTTTCAGATGGTTAGAAAAAAAAAGGACCTCCTTATTTAATGGAGGTCCCAGTATTCAGAGAAACCAGAGTTGTGCATGTTTGGCTTCATGAATGTCTGTCTGTGTAAATCAGAGTTTAAATRTCTCCCTCAGGGGTTGCACTTTGCTCCCCTAGGGAAATCCATCTGCAAGAACCAAAGCCTGAGCAACATTTTAAGCACTAAGGTACACCAGGATGCTCTTTGTTGGTAGCGTAGTTGGTGCCAAGCCTTTCTCCAGACCCTGTATCTTGTTCTGGCTGTGCTTGGATCCCTGGATTCCTGGCTGTTTGAGCTGTGGGATGCTCACACCTTTCTCTCTCTCTCTCTCCTCAGCTTGCTGGYATCAACAAGAAGTTTGCCCGGACAATCGGAATCTCCGTGGATCCCCGAAGACGGAACAAATCCACCGAGTCCCTGCAGGCCAACGTGCAGAGGTTGAAGGAGTACCACTCCAAGCTCATCCTCTTCCCAAGGAAGCCAGCCATGCCCAAGAAGGGAGACAGCTCTGTGAGTGTCTGACTGCTGGATGTGTGTCCTGTTTTGGGAGGTTTGGTGTCAGGCAGAGCTCCTGAGCCTGCTCCATCATGTGACTCCATGGTTCTGAGCCCGGCTCAAGGCCAGGCCTGGCAGGGTTAAGTCGAATGGAGCTCTCTGGGTTTCAGTGACACTTCAGTTGCTGCAGCCCTATTTTTGTGCTGATTCCTGGAGCTTTGATCYTTGCCCAGCCAGCTGAGTTTTAGTTTAGGCAACTAAATTGTGAGAATGGCTGGAAATTCCCTCTGGAGCCAGTCCTGCTGGTGCAAGGCAGAGGGACAGGTTGTGAGGGGCACCAGAGCCATGTGCCAGGCAGRCTCCAGAAGGCATTTGCTGTTGACATTCAAAAATGCTTTTCATTAAAACCTCTCCAGGATCAGAGCAGAGCTGTGTTTCCTGGCTCTGCTGGCAGTAGATGCAGGGAACACAGCGGTGAGTTCAGGCTGTCCTCACATCTTGTGGGGCGTCTGGCAGCTCCAAGCTGCTTGACTCTGTCTTCAGAGCAGGGAGGAAGGGCCTCGAGCTGAAACACTGATTCAGATGTGTTTGCCGGAAATCAGCTGTGTTCAGTAAATGCTCAGTCATTTTTGTCTGATGATGTGCTCTTAAAAGAAGCTGCAATTAACCTGAGAAGGGGTTGCTGAAGAATGTATTGGGTGTATAGGAGCTGTGGGGGCTCAGCATGGAGAAAAGGAGGCTCAGGAAAYKGYCTCARTTTGTGCCAGGGRAGGTGGTTCAGGTTGGACATCAGGAGGAAWTTCTTCCTGAAARGGTGGTCMGGCYTTGGYAGGGKCCAGGGAGGYGATGGAGTCCCCATTCCTGGAGGTGTCTGAGGAAGGACTGGACACRTCACTCCGTGCTCTGGGCTGGTGATAARGTGGGGATCAGTCACAGGTTGGCCTTGATGATCGTGTCTTTTCCARCCTCAATGATCCTGTGATCCTGTGTGAATTGAGAATAGCRCAGTTGGTGTCAAAGCTTTCCCAGCTGGCAGAGCTGTGGCTGCTGCTGCTCCGGCCGGATCTGGGCACAGCGTGGGTTGCCGATGTGGCTCATCTGTGCCAAACGCTCTGAAGTGCTGGATTCATTACCATTTGGTGTTAAATCTCCTGCCAGCATCATTAGCACCATGTTTAGGCTGGGTACCTGTGCACAGGCTGTGCTTAACTGAGGTTTTMGCTGGAGAAGTTTAAATTCTCTTCTAACGTTCCTGTCTTTCTGTTGTGCAGCCAGAGGAACTCAAGATGGCCACTCAGCTCACAGGACCTGTTATGCCCATCAAGAATGTAAGTGTCATTTAATTGTGTTTAATTGTGTCATTTAATCGTGTTCTCTGTGTGACACAGTTGAGATTGAGCTCTGGGAGAGGGTTCTCTCCTTGCTGTSTCAGAGCTGAGGGTGTCTGTCTCCAAGCACTGCCAATTCTGGATTAAAAAAAACAGGAATAAGTATTTGAGAGAACTGTGAAATTAAGGGCACTTAGAGTTGAGCTGGTGTGGGAGTGCCCAGGCAGGTTCTGTGGTCACTGTTTGTCCCTAAATCCTCTCTGCTTCCCGAAGCTGCTGTCAGTAGTGTCACAAACCTCTGCTCATTCCCTACAACTCCCTGACGGGGATCGGGCTTTGTGCCCAGGTGACAAAGGACAGGACAACAGGAAATGGCCTCAAACTATGCCAGGGAAAGTCTTGGTCTGATAGTACAAACATTTCTTCAAAGAATGAGCTGTCCATCCCTGGCACWGCTGCCCAGGGCAGTGGTGGKGTCCCCATCCCTGGAAGYGTCCAAAAAACACGTGSATGTGRCACTTGAGGACATGGTTTGATTTGATATTAAAGGTCTTTTCCAACCTTAACAATGCCATGATTGTGTGAAACCWGACTCAGGTTTCCCGTGGTGTTTTTGTTCTGCTCCATTGTGCTGAGGAGCCATCGGGAATGCAGCTCCCGGTGGAGCAGACTGAGGGCAGGGCCTGTAGATGGCACGAGTGCTCCGTTCTGCTCCGTTCCTCACGGAGATCGTTGTGGGAAGCTTCRTCTCCAAGGGGCAGCCTGACTGTCTGGCGCTCTCTCCGCAGGTTTTCAAGCGGGAGAAGGCGCGTGTCATCTCGGAAGACGAGAAGAACTTCAAGGCCTTTGCCAGCCTTCGCATGGCCCGGGCCAACGCCCGCCTCTTCGGCATCCGCGCCAAGCGCGCCAAGGAAGCGGCGGAGCAGGATGTGGAGAAAAAGAAATGAACTGTTCTCCCCAGAACTGTCAATAAAAAGCTGTAGAAAGCMGAGTGTGCTGTGGTTTTGGGGCACATGTAGCGAGCGGAGCCGCCCCGTGTGCCGGTGGCGGTACAGGGATGTGTTCGAGCGTGGGAAGCCTCGTTCACTGTGATTGGAGGCTCCCAATTTCCCTGAAGCCAAGTGAAACACCTGCCTTGTGCCCACTCCTCTGCCTTGTGTCTGGGCTGCAGCCTGGGCTCTCCTGCTCCGATTCTGAGGGGCTTTGGGGGTTCCTCCTCCATTCCAGGCTTTGTCTGCTGCCCTTTCCCTGCATTTCATGCCACTGTTCCAGATTTAATGATTTCCACAGCTCTGTGAGGCTGACAAGTTGCTCTCTCTGACAAGCTGGGTGTCAGGGTGGGGCTAACTCATAGGTGCTGCCCATGCAGGGGAGGGCTCCCCACTTTGGGGGCACATGGGGTGCAAGGTGTGGCCCAGCCCCTGCTGCTGGGCTTGGATGGASCAGAGTTGCAGGGCTGGGCTGGGCTGCTCTGCCATCCTGCTGCTGTTCCAGGGCYCTTTTAGCCATTTCTTCATGGCTTAAAGGTCACCCTGTGGTAAATGAACCACTTGGGGACATCGTGGTGGCCTCAGCAGTGCTGGGGAGAGGGTGAACTCATCTTGGAGGTGTTTTCCAACCCAAATGGTATTTCAAGTAGCACCACAGGAGTTCAGGAGGAATGGGTGCTGGCTCATCCCTGTGGTTGTTGGGATCCCAGGCTCTGCCTGTCCATGTCGGGGAGATGAGGGGTCACTGGGATGTGTCAGTGGGATCAGAGCAGCACCAGGAGCACTCACCCAGCCCATTGTCGGTTCAGCAGTTCTGGGGCTGTTGTGCAGCCTGGCCGGGATAGTTTGTTTTCATGAGCAGGTTGGAGACGGATGGGATGGGACGGGACGGAACGGGATGGGATGGATCTAGGCAGGATCTGCCCCGTGTGTTGCTGCCCGTGTCCAGTTGCTGCCCCGTCTCCGTCCCCTCTGCCCAGACCCTGTGTCCTGCCCAGCGTGCTGGGGGCTGTGGGGGGAGCAGGAAGGAGAGTGGCCTATTTCTGCCAGGCRGGCTGGGGATTAGCTCCCAAAACCCGGGCCTGGCGGTGCCCTCGTGCTCATTAGCCCTATCTGCATTTTAATCCCTCCAAATTTGGGCTAATTACATCATCTTTCATAAAGCTSGGCTGACAGCACCGCAGCACTGGGGGGACAGGGGTGGGGGAGCAGTCCCAGACCGGGGACTCAACATTTGGGGCTCCATGTGCATGGAATGTGGCTGTGGATGCTCCAGCAGGAGGGAGGGCACCCTGTGGGTTTGGAGCACCCGGTGGGTTTGGGGCACCCCACCCTTGTGCTCGGCCTGTTGGCTCAGGGTGTGGGGCCAGGACCAGGGTGCCCCCGGGTCCCTCGTGGGGAGCAGTGAAGCAGAGGGAGGGGCTGTGACTGTGCCATCGGGGTGTCAACCGGAGCAGGAGCTCCTGCCCTGGCCCAGCCAGCRGTGCTGGGGACGCTGGGGACCCCACTCCGCCCCGGTGCACGGGGTGGGCTCTGCTCCGGAGCCGGCAGCGAGGGAGTTAACGGAGCTTGTCATCCATCTCCCTCTTAGAGCTCCGCTCCCGAACTGCAGCTTGAGTCAGTTGTGTGGAGGTGGCAGCGGCAGCAGCTCCGGCTGGCACACCGGCACGGCTGGCACACCGGCACGGCCGGTACACCGGCACGGCGGCACCCCGAGCCGGCACGGGCCACCAGCACCCAGGTGAGGGGGCCACGGGCAGGGTGGGACCTGCTGTCCCCTCTGCTGAGCGATGGGTGCCAAGGGGTGCCCGCGATCCCGGGGAGGGGGACGGTGCCTACCGGGGCCGGGGTACCGGAGCCGTGTGCCGGGGAGGGCCCGGGCACTGCAGGACTTCCCCAGGAAACTTGGGCTGGGCTGGGCACACGGTGGGCAGGGGCTGCTCTGCCCTGGCCCTGGCCCAGGCAGGAACCCCCGGCAGCTGCAGGAGAGGGGGCACAAACCCCGGACGGGCCGGGCCAGGCAGAGCCCCTCGCTGACCTGGGCAGCACTGCCTGGCTCGGTGTCACCAGCCGCTGGTGGAGAGTGCTCCCTGTCCCCAGCACGGGGGAATCCGTCACCTGGTGCCACTGACACGGAGTTGGTGTCCCCGCTGCCCTCTCGAGAGCCCTGCCCAGGCTGGGGGGTGCTGCCCACGGGGACTGGAGAGGGGGATTCTGCTCCACAGCCCCACGCGGGGCACTCCAGGGTTGGTACCCAGCCTCGTTTGGATCCCCCTTCCCTTCGGAACACATCCTGTCCCTGGGGTGGGGCTGGCACAGAGCTATCCTGCCCTGCAGGACGGTGTGAACCCCTCACAGCAGCGTCAGGGGGGCTGGCTGGCACTTGGGAACACACGGGCAACACGACGAGGGTGCCCCAGCTCCCGCTCATCCCACCGCGCTTCGATGCTTTGCAGGAGCCATCGGGACTGGAACCGGCCCCCGCCTCGGAGGGGGTCCCCGGGGTCCCTCCTGGCACCGGGGCCGTGCCTGGCACTGCRGGGCACCGAGCCCCGGGCATGACGGGCACCTGCCCGGCTCGCTGACGGCCGCCCCGCTCGCCCCCCATGCCCTTCGCCCACGGGGCCGCCTGTCCCCCGGCTCGCCCGGCCGCTCCCCGCGCCCCGGCCGGCATGGGAGACGTGCCCGAGCCGTGCCCGCAGGCCTCGCTGGCCGTGCTGTCCAAGGTGGAGCTGCGGGTCAGCTGCAAACACCTCCTGGACCGCGACACCCTCAACAAGTCGGACCCCTGCGTCCTGCTGCTGATGCAGTCCCAGGGCCAGTGGATGGAGGTAGGAGAGAGGGGGCCCTGGTGGCACCCACCGCGCCSGGCAGGGCAGGGCTGGGCAGGGCACGGTGGGCACTGGGAACGTGGTGGGGCTGGGAATGGGGTGGTGGATGCAGGGGGCTGAATGGTGAGTGCAGGCGATGGTGGGGGGCGAGGTGCAGGGTGGAGAATGGGATGCACAATGGGGTGCAGGGTGGAGAACGGGATGTAGAATGGGGTGCAGGGTGAAGAACGGGGTGCAGAATGGGATGCAGGACAGGGGCTGGAGTGCAGGGTCCAGAGCAGGGTGCAGGACAGGGGTCGGGGTGCAGGAGATGGTGAGGAGCAGAGTACGCAGTACAGAGCAGGGTACAGGAGATAATGGAGAATGGAGCACAGGGTGTAGCAGGATGCTGAGTGTAGAACAAGGAGCAGGGTTCAGAACGGGGTGCAGGAGATCATGGAGAATGGGTGCTGGGTGCTGAACAGAGTCCAGGGCTCAGAATGGGGTGCAGGGCCCAGAACAGGGTGCAGGGTTCAGAAAGGGGTGCAGGGTGCAGAGCAGGGTGCAGGGCTCGGAGCAGGGGACAGAGTGCAGGGCAGGGATACAGGATGGGGTGCAGGAGACAATGCAGAGCGGGATGCACAGGGCAGGGTGCACAGGGCAGGGTGCACAGGGCGGGGTGCACAGAGCAGAACAGGTCACAGGGCACAGATCGGGTGCAGGAGGGGATGCACAGTGGGCAGGGCACTGTGGGACCCCCAACAGCCCGTGGGGCCCGGGGCTGCAGTGGGGTCGGGGAGCAGGGTGGGTGGGGAGCCCACGGCCCTGTGGCTCCAGAGCGGCTCCACTGCCCAGGACGGGGACAAGGGACACCTCAGGCTCAGGCTGGAGGGCTGGTGCTGAAGCTGGCACTGGGAATGGCAGTGGGGCTGGCAGTGGGGCTGGCACGGCTCCCTCCATCCCTCCCTCCCCTCGCCCAGCTCTGGACTGGCGCCGGCAGCCCCGCTCTAATCGCAGCCGCTCAGCCGGCGGATTTAGCGCTAAATCCCACCGCTAATTTAGCGGTGTGTCACCGACTCCGCCCGAGCCAGCGCGGAGCCGGGGGGGACAAGGGCCCCGTGCCAGCTGCGGTGTGCTGTGCCATGCCAGGCACTTGTATCCGGCTGTGCCACACTCTGTGTGCCGTGCTGTGCCGTGCCGTGCCGTGCCGTGCCAAGCTGTGCTGTGCCAGACACCAGCCAGCCCCAAGAGCAAAGAGGGCCCCTCCTGAGCCACCTTCTGGAGTGACCCCTGCCCTGTCCCCTCCCTGTCCCAGCCAGCCCGTGTCACCCAGAGGAGGTGGTGGCTGAACCTGCTTCTGCTGCTGGCTCCAAGTGTGACAGTGTGGGCTCAGCAGATGCTGCCGGGCTGGGTGGGCAGTGGGCAGTGGGCAGGGGCCTGGCAGGGTGCTCTGGCCAGGATGTGTCCCCTTGAGCCCGCACTGGCAGAGGCGGGCACTGGTGAGGCTCTGGCACTGCTCAGCACCCACTGCCCGCACGGCCAGGAGGTGCCGGCACCTGCTCTGCCATCCCAAAGCCCTGTGGGGTGAGCTCTGCCATCCCAAAGCCCCCCCCGTGCTGCTCCTGCCCAGGTGGATCGCAGCGAGGTGATCAAGAGCAACCTGAACCCCGTGTTCGCCAAGATCTTCACGGTCGATTACTACTTTGAGGAGGTGCAGAAGCTGCGATTCGAGGTGTACGACAGCCACGGCCAGGCTGGCGTGGGCACACACGATGACGATTTCCTGGGGGGCACGGAGTGCACCGTGGGGCAGGTGAGCTTGGGGACACCCGCCCGGGGACAGCGCCATGGTGTCCCCTCCCCAACCCTGGGCTCTCGCAGATCGTGGCGCAGAAACGGGTGACAAAGCCGCTGTTCCTCAAGTACGGGAAATTCGCGGGCAAGTCCACGATCACGGTGAGCACCGAGCCGACGCTGGGGGTGACAGTGGGGTGACACTGAGCAGGGGCACCGGGGTGGCRCCGGGATGGGATGTGCRGGTGACATGGGTGGCACCAGACAGGACAGATGGGTGGCACTGGATGTGGGACACTGGGATGGCATCACACTGGACATCTGGGTGGCACTGGGCTGGGTCAGCGGGGTGGCACAGATTCTTGGGGG